AGAGGTCAAGATTACCTTCGCAAGCGTCGAAGATGTGGGAAATGCACAGATGTCATTCATGTCAGAGGATCGCAAAAGGACTCAAAGACCTCATACAGTCTCATGATACTAACGAGTCAAGCGATAATGGATACGTTTGACAGAACCTGACAGTGTACAAAGCCGTTGCTACACGTTACTTGAAACCTGACACAGCTATACGCACAAAAGGTTCATTTCTGCCCAACTTGCGGCTTTTGCGCTGGTCAATTTATGACGTCACGTAAGAATTGAAATCCCGTATCCCGCTCTGTTCCCCTTGTAAATCCCACATCCTAAGCCCATAAAACACTAAATCCCACTCCCACTCGTAATTGTAATTCCCGCTTCCCGGCCCTGTTTTCAGCTCAAATCCCGAATATCACGGGGGAAAAAAGCCAAATCCCGCATCCCGCCAAACGTACTGGGGACCCTCAGTGACCGCGACCACTTTTAGAGCTGAAAGTTTAAAATTTTTACGGTTTTTAACCTCTCGTAAGTGACCAATTGGATGATAGGGTGTTTAACATTTTCGCATTCCTGAATAGTGCAAGAGAGGGAAAATGTCTCAATGGGAAGTCCCGGATTTTTCTCTCAAAATTGACTTTTCACATGAGTAGATAACATTTAAAACATGGTGTAACTCTGTGCAGTTACCATATGCTAATGAAGCAAAATTTTGACCCAATTGCTGGTTTTCAGTGTCACGCAATTCAAAATAGATCAAAATAAAAATCAAAACCGGTCAATAGATAAAGTCCAGAATCTGAGAAATGAAAGAACTTAAATATGACTCTCGCCAAAATTCTGGTCACAGCAATTTTTCTTACGCGAGATATGCGAAGAAATTTTTTACGTACCCAAATTTATAGAGATTTGTATGGAGACGCCGTGCTGGTGCCCATCCGTATGGGCACCAACATGGCTGCCGGAAACCAACAGAAACATCTGTCACTAAGGCCCAGTTCAGACGTCGTGCTTCTGCCGTGCCGAACTAAATTGCAATTGGGTTCGACTGTAGCACGGCAGGAAAACAACTTTGATTCAGACGTCGTGACAGAGTCGAACCAAATTCAGGATACACTGATGCCTCGTAACAATTCTCCTGCTAACTCCCCGTGGGAACGCAATCTCGCCAAAATACAATATTACAATTTATGAACTTTGTTCAGCGCGGCAGAAGCACGACGTTTGAATCGCTGCCGTGCCAGAGTCGTGTAGCACGGCAGAGCTTGTCGAA